TTAAGCAACAAAAATGGACTACATATTTTTCATCTGAACACTAACAGCCTGAGACACAAACTGGCTGAACTCAGGCAGCTATTTATGAACGGTAAGGCAAGCATATTATGCTTTTCTGAGACCAAATTGGACAATTCCATTACAGATTCAGAGATTGAAATTGAAGATTATCTTGTAGTGAGAAGGGACAGGAACGTGAATGGAGGTGGTGTCTGCATGTACATACATAAAGACACCAATTTCAAAAACCGTACTGACCTGCATCATGAAAATATTGAATCTGTGTGGGTTGAAATTCTTTTTGACAATGCTAAATCTGTAATAGTCGGGACAATCTATAGACCACCGGAACAGAGTGACTTTTATGATACATTAGATGGGTGTTTGGCTGATGTGGGGGATGTAGAGACAATTACTATTGGAGACTGGAACACGGATATGCAACGTAAAGACACGTCCGTCTTCAAGTCCTTCAGTAGGACTTGTGATCTGCACGGCTTCAGCCAGCTAATCACCCAACCCACCCGGGTATGTGAAACAACACAAACTACCATTGATCTCATTCTGACCTCTGACAAGTCCAGGATCTCCAGTAAAGGGGTTATAGCATGCGGTTTAAGTGATCATTATATGATATTCTGTACCCGCAAAAAGCTAAAACAAAGGGCCGGCTGTCACAAAACAGTCATATCTAGAGACCTCAAAAACTACTCTAGCGAGGCCTTTAACCTAGAACTGGAGAGCCTGGACTGGTCAGATGAGCTCAGTGGTACACAAGTTGAAGAAACATGGCTTGGTTTCAAAAACAAATTCTCTGCAATACTCAATGATTTGGCCCCCCTAAGAACAACCAGGGTAAAAAATCGCGCTGAGCCGTGGATGCACTCCGGCATACTGACCGCCATGAAAAGCAGAGACAAAAAATGCTCTGAGTTTCATAACAGTCAGTCAATGCTTTCCAAAAGCACGAGCAGTGAACTCCAGGCCCACATGACTGAACTCAAAATTGAAAGAAACAGACTAAGAAATGACGTAAGCTCCATGATCAAAACTGCCAAAAAGAATTTCATCAATGTCAAAACTGAGGAAAACAAAAATAAACCCCGTGAACTTTGGAAATTACTCAATAACCAGCTTGGCTGCAGTAAAAAACTCAAAACGAGATTTTCTAACTTAAACATAAAGACAGATAACAGGCTCATCACAGACAAACTGGATGTGGCCAAGTACTTGAACATTTTTTTCACAAACATAGCCACAACTCTTGTAAATAAATTACCCTCCCACTCAGGGGCTTTTTGGAGTAGATCACATCATGACCTACTACAAAAACCTAGGGGTACGCAAAGATGATTTCAGTCTAGCAAGGGTAACAACAGCAGAGGTACTCATTAAACTGAGCGCCCTCCAACCTAACAAGGCCACTGGCCACGACAATATCCCCTCCAAATTCCTCAGAGACTCAGCAACCGCCATCTCACCAGTCATAGCTCACATAATTAACCTCTCCATAAAACAGGGAAAAGTACCCAAAGACTTCAAAATTGCAAGAGTAACCCCCCTGCACAAAAAGGGCAGCAAATTGGACCCAGGCAACTACCGCCCTGTTTCTATACTTACCTCCATCTCGAAAATCATGGAAAAAATAGTATATGAACAGGTCGAAAAGTACCTCGCGGAAAAGAAACTAATCTATGAATTTCAATCTGGCTTTAGAACATCCCACTCCACTGACACATGCCTTCTTTATTTGAGCGACCACATCAAACAAGAGGTGTACGAGGGCAAGTACTGCGGCATGGTGATGCTGGACCTACAAAAGGCTTTCGACACTGTCAATCACCCCATTCTGATTGACAAGCTAAAAGCAATTGGTTTTGATAAACTATCGGTGAGCTGGATGCAATCCTACCTGGAGGGGAGAGAACAGATGGTGGAGGTAAATGGTACTCTGTCCCCCCCCCTCCCAGTGAGCTGTGGTGTTCCACAAGGAAGCATATTAGGTCTGTTACTGTTCCTAATTTATGTAAATGTAATGTCATCAGCATGTGACTGCAACTTGTTCCTGTTCGCGGACGACTCAGCCCTGCTGGTCTCTGACAGGAACAGGTTGCAGGTTGAAAAAACCCTCAGCTCCGAGCTCGGCAGAATCTGCACCTGGCTCGCCGATAATAAATTATCATTACACCTGGGTAAAACAGAGTCCATTCTCTTCGGTTCGAAACATAATCTCAGCAAATCCGACGACTTCTCAGTTGCAGTGGGCGACATTATTGTCACAAGTAAGAAGGAAATTACATACCTAGGATCTATTCTTGAGGCAAACCTCTCCTGTGACAAAATGGCATCCAATGTAATAAAAAAAGTCAATCAAAGAACTAGATTCCTATACCGGATCTCCTCTCTGGTAAACAAAAACACCCTGAAAACTCTGGCAGGAGCACTCATTCAAGGGTACTATGACTATGCTTGCACGTCATGGTACCATAGCACCTCCAAGGCGCTAAAAATAAAACTTCAAACATCGCAAAATAAACTGGTCAGACTACTGCTTGACCTTTCATCTAGAACCCACCTCACCTCTGCCCACTTTGACAACCTAGGATGGCTTAGAGTAGACGACAGAGTACAGCTACTTGCAATGGGCCTGGTCTACAAGATCCACTACACCTCTATGGTACCCATGTACATGTCAAAATTCTTCCCAAAGGTCAAGGAATACCATGATCATAACACCAGAGGGAGCTCCACAAATCATGTGAAACCCAGATTTGGCACAAAAAAGGGGGAATACACGTTTCGCAATTATGCCACATCAAGGTGGAACGCTCTTCCCACAACTGTAAAGGAAAGTAAAACTATACTTACCTTCAAAACCTCTCTTAAAGAGCACCTTCGGGGGAGAGCATTGCAAAACTGGCCCCGGTAATGGTACAAATCTCAACCTGTCGTTCAATGGACAGCTTCCCCCCCCCCATCTATGTATATACTCGCATTTTAGACTCTGTTACTAACTGTATATCTGTAGACTTGGTATGTCTTAAATGTCCGGTTAGGATGTATTAGAACTAGTGCTGTCAAAATTATCGCGTTAACGGCGGTAATTAATTTTTTGAATTAATTGCGTTAAAATATTTAACGCATTTAACGCATGTGCAGAATGGCCCGCCCCATACGTGCCACCAGTGGCAGCGCCAGGGTATTGCTGGGGTAGGCTACACCCATACCAAGAAATGGCTTAGCCCCACCATGAAAAATGATGTTAAAGTAAGCAAAATAAAGTCTGCCAACTCGCGCGGAGTAAATTGCACAGACAGCAGTTAGTAAGATTGATTTCAGTAGCCACGGTTTTGAAAACTTTTGTCAGGTAGTGATCGTCTTCTCAATAGAACATCTTTGATAACGGCGTGGTGTTTAGTGATGGGAATTCCGGCTCTTCTTGGTGAGCCGGATCATTTGGCTCGGCTCACCAAGAAGAGCCGGCTCTTTCGGCTCCCAAACGGCTCTTCAGTTTACCACATATTATACCTTTTAATTAAATCAAATGTAGCCCTGTTTTGACTAATGAATGATGTATATGTGTACACATAGGCCTATATCACTTAAATTATTCAACACATCCTTTGTACTGAAGTATTCAAAAGTAAAAATTACATGTTTAATATAAATGATTTGCTGTGGCCAAATGTTTTCAAATCTGTAATCAAAAAGCTCCTCAAAAACACTATCGAAGCAGTTCATGCCGTTGCTACGTTAGTTCAAACAGTAACAACGGACTATTTTTCTTAGCGGATGCATGTCAATTTAAATAAATACATACAACTATTTGTTGAGAATGTGGCCATGTAATAAGCGGGATAATTAGGCCGCAAGGTGAACCTCGAAAAGTCCTTTAGAAAAGAAATCCCGCTCCACAGAAGTGAAACTACACAATCTTTAGTTCATAAAAAAGAACGATTCATGCTTATCCACCAAAAAAAATGTCGTCGCTAAAATTCCTGCCAATTCTTCTAGGCACGTAATTATTGGCTGAACTATTCCCTTCGAAGCGTAATAATATCTTGGTCCAAAGTCGTGCCACGGTTCATCACGTGATCGTGCTACACCAATTGGGTAGCTGCATATTGTCAACAGAAGTGAAAGATGGCGGCCGCCATGGTTTCATCGAGTAGCGGAGACGAGGAAAACGCACCAGAAAGTCTCAAAAAGTCAAAATTGTCAACACACAAACATTGTTACATGCATATTACGTCTGTGAAGCACGAAAAGGTTGATTGTTTTACCAATACAAGATGGAATACGTACAGGACAAGCTTACAACGGTCGCTCGGCTTGAAGGGAGACTCTCGGAACGTGGTGGCTGAAAACCACAAGCACTGTCTTGATTTCGAGTTCGAAGATATTCCTGAGGACGCTGGCTTCCACCACACATGCTACATAAGGTTTACCGACACAAAGGCCATGACGAAGGTGGAAAGACGGCTCGCACGTGAGGGAGATCAAGACGTTAGGGAGGACCTTGAGGTCGAGCCCATCCCATCGACGTCTCGCAGCACGTACCGAAGCCAAACAGAGAAGCTACGATCAAGGTCAGGCCTGCCAATCGCAGGCTCTGGCCCCGTCCTTCCTGCCCTGTGCATTATATGCAAGATGAAGGAGAAAATGATCATCAAAGCAGGCAAGCGACAAAGGGATCAACTGTGTAAGGCTGAAACATTAAAAGCAGGTAAGCAAACCCCCTCCCCCACCCACACACCACACACACACTACACACACACACACACACACACACACACATTCTCTGTGGTTGAATAACTGAAAGGTACAATTATGTGTGAGAGATACGTCAACAAACTCATTGAGTTGTCCTTTTTTTTTCCGTTTAGGCAAATTGCAGAAAGCTGCTGAGAAGAAAGATGACCAAAGTGTTCTTTTACATATAAAAGACAAAGACTGTGTGGCTCTGGAGGTGCGGTACCACAAAAGCTGTTACAGTCAGTACACCATGTTTTTGCTGAGATCTGACAAACCAGAGACAGAACAGTAAGTTATTTCTCCTTGGATTGCTTTACCTATTTGCACTACCACCAGACTGAAGTCCAGGTGTGTGTCGGCGATGGCTATATATATATATATACACATACACATACTTAACATTATAAGTAAACATCCAATTTCCTTCTGTTAGATGTGCACACAATCACAACACTTATTCATTTATCCATTTATTTACTTCTCATTCATGTGTTGTAGGGATGAGGCAATGTTTGATGCCAGTTACAAGCTGTTCTGTGAGAGGATCATCCGCCAGAGGCTGCTTGTCAACAATGAGGTGCTTAGAATGGGCCAGCTGAGGCAGGCCTTCATTGACATGGTGAAAGCAAACGAAGGTGTTGATGCTTCAAACTACAGGTAACTGCAATGTAATACAAGTCTTATTATTTATCATGTGCAAGGCCAGCTTTAAACAAAATGTGTATGACAGGCCTGTTTGGAGAAACCCCCATGATGTGTAGTGTGTAGTGTTGTTTGTGATGATGTGGGCCTTTATTTGGCTTCTTTGGTGTTAAATGTGCTGTATGGCAGATAGGTTCTAGTCTGTAATGTCTTGTATCACCTCCACCACTCTGCTTTTGATGGTACTCCTGTGACTCGTAATTGTCACTGTTTTGTTGTGTTACAGACAGGATCTGTTGAAGAAGAGGCTGGCTCAAGATTTCCCTCAGCTAGCGTTTCACATGCCCACCAAGCGCAACGTCTGCGAACTGGTTTTTGCTGAGACTCTGTCAAAGGATGCACTCGTGGACATGCTACCAGATCCATCCGGTACGGAAACAACACAGTCCAGTGAATTGAGCCAGACAGACAGCGACAATGAAACAGGGAGAACAAAGTGCCAAACAACACATGAGGACACAAGGACACTGTATACAGCAGCGTTGTTTTTGAAAAGACTGCTTAGTGACACTCCTGGCATGTCATGCCCATGGCCTCCCACTTCTGAAAATGTAAATGTCACTGAATCTCAAACTGTTGTCCCCATTGGACTATACAATCTGCTCAGCTGGATTATAGGTTCCACTGAGGAGCCAACACTGGATCATTATGTCAACATTGATGATGACATACATTTGAAAGTGTTGTCTGTTTGTCAAGACATTGTGTACCTTGCTTCCAAGGGCCGCAAGCAGACACCCAAGTCCTTGGCTTTAGGTTTAACTGTTCGACATTTAACTGGATCATCACGCATTGTATCACTGCTTAACAGACTGGGACATTGTGCATCATGGGACACAGTTTTGAGTCTAGACACTAGCCTTGCCCAACTGACACTAGTAGAAGGCAGAGACAAAATACCGAAGGGATTCTCAAAGCGGACACCCACAACACTTGTGTGGGATAACATTGACTTTGGTGAGGAGACACTATCGGGTCGTGGAACTACTCACCATACAAATGGAATTATGCTCCAGAGTGTGCCCGGCGAGCCTATGTCCACAGCAATCAGACAGCCACTGAGAAAGGGAGTTAGCTCATTCATAGCCCCCCCCCCCAATGCCTATACAACCTTACCATCAGTCCAAAAGGCAAGGGCCACAGAACTTGTGTCAACCAGTGCAGTCAGCGACATGCAGAATGGACACCCACTTTGCTGTACAAGCTGAAATGGCATATGCTTTTGTGAAGTCCACATGTACGGATAGTTGTACAATCCCAAGCTGGACAGGGTTCCATACACTGCTTCAGGATGAAAACACTCTGCAGAAGTCCGCATTGTATTATCTTCCAGTCATTGAAGCCTCACCAACAGAGATGTCAACAGTCAACACTATCCTGAAGCGAAGTGTCCAGATTGCTGACCAGCTAGAACTGGATCATATAGTTTTAGTGTTTGACCAGGCTATATGCCAAAGCACAGCAAATACGCTGGAAGGATGTTGAGTTTACAAAGCGTCTAGTGATTAGACTAGGTGAATTCCATACATGCATGTCCTACCTGAGTATTCTAGGCAAAAGGTTCGGAGATGCAGGACTGCAAGATATCCTCATTGAATCTGAAGTTGTTGCCCCAGGATCCATCAATGGGGTACTCAATGGCCATCACTACAATCGCAGCATGAGGGCTCATAAACTTCTATATGAGAGTCTGCAGCGCATCCGGTTTATCACCTTCATGGACTCCTTGCCACCCCAAGAGAGAGCTGCGTGCATGGATGTCATCACTGAGATGGAATGTGCCTTTCCAGACAGATTGATGGATGTTTTGAGTGCAGATCAGAGGTTTGATAATATGTGCTCGAAATATGCAGACTTTGTGCAGAGGAGGAGTACAGAGAATGCAACATTTGCTTTCTGGAGCTCATACATTGACATGATGCAGCTACTCCTCCTGTTTGTGAGAGCAACGCGAGAATCAAACTGGCAGCTTCACCTGTCAACCGTCCGGTTAATGATGCCATGGTTTTTTGCCTACGATAGAGTAAATTACGCTCGATATTTACCTGCATACTGGCTGGAAATGATGAATCTGCCTGTCACACATCCCTCTTGCCACAGTGACATGAATGTGAAAGGCCAGTGGACTGTCCAGCGACAAAGTGTTCATGGATTTGCCTCCATTGCTTGCGACCAGGCTATTGAGCAAACGCTTAACAGAGATGCCAAGACCAAAGGTGGCTGGACAGGGATCACACAAAATCGGTCTGCAGTGTATCACTGGATACTGTCACAGCATGAAAGAGCCGCGATAGCAAGACAGTGTGAATCAATGGCAGGGATATCTCCTGAGCTACGGACAAGAAAAGACCTGGACAAGACACGCATCTCTGCTGATGCAAAGGCTGTGAGTAGAATCTTGGACACTATTGATTCCATGCTCAACCCTTTTGATGTACACCAAGACGGCATTGTGTGTCTTAGCTCTGGAAGAGTAGCAACAGGAGAAATCACAAAGGATTTGCTTGTTGCCTCAGAAAAGGGTGAAAATGCTGTAAAGGAGTTTATGGAGCAGAGACTGTTATCCAAAACAGTTGACATATTTGCCCCCATAATATCACAAAAATTCAAGACTCTCAGTGATCAGAAAAGCCCCCCAAAAAATCTGCAGCAGGCAAGGAAGTGATTTTGCGTGCTGACAAGAAGTTATTTTCCAGGCTCCTCATCCTTGGCCAGAGCAGGAAAATTGAAATGAGGGAAATTCTGTCATATTCCTTGGGAACTGTGTCATATCCATGAGCAAGTGCTGATGGTTCACTTGCCAAAACAAACAAATCAGCTCTCATGGATCTATTGCAGAGCAAAGGTGGAGAGTGCTTGGTTGACAAAGTTCCAATAGGTGGTGCCATTCTTTTTGATGGCATGGCAGTCATGCAGGCCATGCCATCCAGACCAGCAACATTTGGAGAGCTTGCAGAGACCATACTGCAGAGCATACTCCAACTTGCTTTGCATCACAAGTGTACACGCATTGATTTTGTCACTGACCGGTATCCACCCATCAGCATCAAAAGCCTAGAACGGTCCCGTAGAGCTGATGCAGGGTCACAACTAATAACAATCTTCAGCCCAGATCAGAGAACTCCAACCCAGTGGAAGAAGTTTCTCTCTGACGGAAAAAATAAGGAAGCACTGGCCGAATTCCTTTATGTGGCATGGACACATGCAGACCTCACAACAGTGGGTAAAAACCTCAGCTTGTACATTGCCCATCAAAATCAATGCCACTGTGTAACTGTCATGGAGGGTGTACAGTCTGTTGATGTTGTTGAAGACCTGCAGTGTGATCATGAGGAATGTGACACACGGGTGTTTTTACATGCCCAACATGCTGCACAGGAGCACAAAGCTGTCATCATCAAGAGCTCGGACACTGATGTGGCAGTCATTGCTGTAAGTCTGCAGGCAGATTTGCCATGCAGCTTATATGTGTTCACAGGGACTGGCAACAGGACACGGATCATTGACATTGCCATGGTGTCATCAGCTCTCGGAACCAGTGTGTGTTCAGCCTTGATTGGAATTCACACGTTCTCTGGGTGTGACTCCACAAGCGCTTTCTATGGCAAAGGCAAAAGAAAGTCATTTGCTGTTGCATGTGAGAAAGATGACTACCTTAAGGCTTTCAGAAGTTTAGGTACTAACTTTGACTTGGAGCAATCAACATTTGCACTTCTTTGCCGGTATGTATGTCACCTGTATGATCAGCCAGCAGCCGAACATGTAAATGATGCTAGGTACAAGGCTTTCTGTATGGCATCATCGGCCTTGCCAGAATTAAGCATTCCCCCTACTCATGATGCCCTCCATCAGCACTGCAAAAGGGCAAATTACCAGGCAGCAATAATGAGGTCCTGTCTCAAAAGAGAAATGAATGCTCCATCACCTGCTGGATATGGTTGGGAAATAGAGGATGGGAACTTACACGTCACCTGGATGACAAGAAATCCTGCCCCTGACAGTGTGTTGCATGTGATACACTGCAGCTGCAAAGAGTCTGCCTGTGAGAAAGGCAGATGTTCATGCTTCTCTGCAGGACTCTGTTGCACAGACTTATGTCGTTGCTCAAATTGTGCAAATAAAAAAGAAACAGAGGAAGAGAACGATGACTGCCCTGACACTGACAGTGAGGAATAGGAATAAAAGAGCCTTCTTTCCATCTTTCTTAAGCTCTTTTCTGTTCTTTTGGTTTTAGTGCCTGGCCGACACGCTCACACATCACTCATAGATACGTTTGTTTTTGGTACTAGAACAGAGTATAATCAGCAGGACTCTTTTAACCAGCTGAGGCAATCACAGCCCCAATCAGCCGCTCCGCCCAGCCTGACACCAATCAATTATACTACATTACATGTCCTTCTACTGTTTTCTATGTCATACCTTTTATATTTGTAATAAATCTCGTTTTTATGGTTCATCAGTGTTGTTTTCATTTGTGGAGGGATGAATGAGTAAATAAATGAATCAATGGACATTGGTATAAGTAAGGCAAGGCAAGTTTATTTATATAGCACTTTTCAACACAAGGCAATTCAAAGTGTTTTACAAAAAATTAAAGACATTAAGAAAATGGCATTTAAAATCAGTCATTCAAAAGAAAAGCTAATAAAAGAAACATTAAAAGAAAAAATACATGGATAAAAGTTACAGTGCAGTCTAAGATATGAATAGTTCAATTAAAAGCAGCAACAAAAAGAAAAGTCTTCAGCCTGGAAGTACTGCATTTTATTGATCTAAATTACTTAACGTAACAAGTTAACCTTCTTCTTGGACGCAGAAATCAAGTCATGTTTATTTTAAGAGTGCATTTAACGTGTACAGGGTAACAACAGACAGACAAAAAGTCCTCAGTCTAATGGAATAATCCCAATGAACCTAGCGATGTGAACATGGCAGTCCAGGAATGATAGTTTGATAAATATGAGTTTGATATACTTTATTAATCCCCGTGGGGAAATTGTTTGTAGCTGGAGTTGGCTGATAAACGCTGCTAGTCAATGTTGATTCGATGGTCAACTCTGTTCCCAGATAGTAAAACCTCTCACAAATACCGCGTATATAACGCAAATACCTCGGACTTAGTGATGTATTAAGACATATGACAAAACATGACATAAAACAAGCATACAGCACTGTTTAGAATCCATTTGGTCTGGTTTAGCGTAACCATGGCGGCCGCCATCTTTCACTTCTGTTGACAATATGCAGCTACCCAATTGGTGTAGCACGATCACGTGACGAACCGTGGCACGACTTTGGACCAAGATATTATTACGCTTCGAAGGGACTAGTTCAGCCAATAATTACGTGCCTAGAAGAATTGGCAGGAATTTTAGCGACGATATTTTTTTTGGTGGATAAGCATGACTCGTTCTTTTTTATGAACTAAAGATTGTGTAGTTTCACTTCTGTGGAGCGGGTTGAAACGATAACAGGGTTCACCTTATGGCCTAAATGTGCACATTGCATAATGTGCCTTCATGCCGATCTAGATCCCTCCGCAAAAAAAATAAAAAAAACCGTCTCGTTCGCGGGTGCGAGCCGGCTCCCGTCGTTCACTTAAAAGAGCCGGCTCTTTGAGCCGGCTCGTTCGCGACCGACACATCACTAGTGGTGTTGTTGCAGGAAATCCCGACGGAGAATACTTTTGCTGTAGTACAGGGGTGCACATAACTGGTACGCAGGTTATGTGCGTAATCTGAAATGCGTACCGTCACTTGTGTCACAAAGCGCATTTGCGTACCGACGTACTTGTGAAGCTTTTCCAGAAGGCGGTTAGATCACCGGACGACAGAGTCGGTCTCCGTGTGCACAGACAGGGCTGCTGTTAACGTCGGTCTGTACAACTAGGCCATAAGGTGAACCCTGTTATCGTTTCAACCCGCTCCACAGAAGTGAAACTACACAATCTTTAGTTCATAAAAAAGAACGAGTCATGCTTATCCACCAAAAAAAATATCGTCGCTAAAATTCCTGCCAATTCTTCTAGGCACGTAATTATTGGCTGAACTAGTCCCTTCGAAGCGTAATAATATCTTGGTCCAAAGTCGTGCCACGGTTCGTCACGTGATCGTGCTACACCAATTGGGTAGCTGCATATTGTCAACAGAAGTGAAAGATGGCGGCCGCCATGGTTACGCTAAACCAGACCAAATGGATTCTAAACAGTGCTGTATGCTTGTTTTATGTCATGTTTTGTCATATGTCTTAATACATCACTAAGTCCGAGGTATTTGCGTTATATACGCGGTATTTGTGAGAGGTTTTACTATCTGGGAACAGAGTTGACCATCGAATCAACATTGACTAGCAGCGTTTATCAGCCAACTCCAGCTACAAACAATTTCCCCACGGGGATTAATAAAGTATATCAAACTCATATTTATCAAACTATCATTCCTGGACTGCCATGTTCACATCGCTAGGTTCATTGGGATTATTCCATTAGACTGAGGACTTTTTGTCTGTCTGTTGTTACCCTGTACACGTTAAATGCACTCTTAAAATAAACATGACTTGATTTCTGCGTCCAAGAAGAAGGTTAACTTGTTACGTTAAGTAATTTAGATCAATAAAATGCAGTACTTCCAGGCTGAAGACTTTTCTTTTTGTTGCTGCTTTTAATTGAACTATTCATATCTTAGACTGCACTGTAACTTTTATCCATGTATTTTTTCTTTTAATGTTTCTTTTATTAGCTTTTCTTTTTAATGACTGATTTTAAATGCCATTTTCTTAATGTCTTTAATTTTTTGTAAAACACTTTGAATTGCCTTGTGTTGAAAAGTGCTATATAAATAAACTTGCCTTGCCTTACTTATACCAATGTCCATTGATTCATTTATTTACTCATTCATCCCTCCACAAATGAAAACAACACTGATGAACCATAAAAACGAGATTTATTACAAATATAAAAGGTATGACATAGAAAACAGTAGAAGGACATGTAATGTAGTATAATTGATTGGTGTCAGGCTGGGCGGAGCGGCTGATTGGGGCTGTGATTGCCTCAGCTGGTTAAAAGAGTCCTGCTGATTATACTCTGTTCTAGTACCAAAAACAAACGTATATATGAGTGATGTGTGAGCGCGTCGGCCAGGCACTAAAACCAAAAGAACAGAAAAGAGCTTAAGAAAGATGGAAAGAAGGCTCTTTTATTCCTATTCCTCACTGTCAGTGTCAGGGCAGTCATCGTTCTCTTCCTCTGTTTCTTTTTTATTTGCACAATTTGAGCAACGACATAAGTCTGTGCAACAGAGTCCTGCAGAGAAGCATGAACATCTGCCTTTCTCACAGGCAGACTCTTTGCAGCTGCAGTGTATCACATGCAACACACTGTCAGGGGCAGGATTTCTTGTCATCCAGGTGACGTGTAAGTTCCCATCCTCTATTTCCCAACCATATCCAGCAGGTGATGGAGCATTCATTTCTCTTTTGAGACAGGACCTCATTATTGCTGCCTGGTAATTTGCCCTTTTGCAGTGCTGATGGAGGGCATCATGAGTAGGGGGAATGCTTAATTCTGGCAAGGCCGATGATGCCATACAGAAAGCCTTGTACCTAGCATCATTTACATGTTCGGCTGCTGGCTGATCATACAGGTGACATACATACCGGCAAAGAAGTGCAAATGTTGATTGCTCCAAGTCAAAGTTAGTACCTAAACTTCTGAAAGCCTTAAGGTAGTCATCTTTCTCACATGCAACAGCAAATGACTTTCTTTTGCCTTTGCCATAGAAAGCGCTTGTGGAGTCACACCCAGAGAACGTGTGAATTCCAATCAAGGCTGAACACACACTGGTTCCGAGAGCTGATGACACCATGGCAATGTCAATGATCCGTGTCCTGTTGCCAGTCCCTGTGAACACATATAAGCTGCATGGCAAATCTGCCTGCAGACTTACAGCAATGACTGCCACATCAGTGTCCGAGCTCTTGATGATGACAGCTTTGTGCTCCTGTGCAGCATGTTGGGCATGTAAAAACACCCGTGTGTCACATTCCTCATGATCACACTGCAGGTCTTCAACAACATCAACAGACTGTACACCCTCCATGACAGTTACACAGTGGCATTGATTTTGATGGGCAATGTACAAGCTGAGGTTTTTACCCACTGTTGTGAGGTCTGCATGTGTCCATGCCACATAAAGGAATTCGGCCAGTGCTTCCTTATTTTTTCCGTCAGAGAGAAACTTCTTCCACTGGGTTGGAGTTCTCTGATCTGGGCTGAAGATTGTTATTAGTTGTGACCCTGCATCAGCTCTACGGGACCGTTCTAGGCTTTTGATGCTGATGGGTGGATACCGGTCAGTGACAAAATCAATGCGTGTACACTTGTGATGCAAAGCAAGTTGGAGTATGCTCTGCAGTATGGTCTCTGCAAGCTCTCCAAATGTTGCTGGTCTGGATGGCATGGCCTGCATGACTGCCATGCCATCAAAAAGAATGGCACCACCTATTGGAACTTTGTCAACCAAGCACTCTCCACCTTTGCTCTGCAATAGATCCATGAGAGCTGATTTGTTTGTTTTGGCAAGTGAACCATCAGCACTTGCTAATGGATATGACACAGTTCCCAAGGAATATGACAGAATTTCCCTCATTTCAATTTTCCTGCTCTGGCCAAGGATGAGGAGCCTGGAAAATAACTTCTTGTCAGCATGCAAAATCACTTCCTTGCCTGCTGCAGATTTTTTGGGGGGCTTTTTCTGATCACTGAGAGTCTTGAGTTTTTGTGATATTATGGGGGCAAATATGTCAACTGTTTTGGATAACAGTCTCTGCTCCATAAACTCCTTTACAGCATTTTCACCCTTTTCTGAGGCAACAAGCAAATCCTTTGTGATTTCTCCTGTTGCTACTCTTCCAGAGCTAAGACACACAATGCCGTCTTGGTGTACATTAGGGGTGTAACGGTTCACAAACATTTCGGTTCGGTACGTACCTCGGTTTTTTGGTCACGGTTCGGTTCAGTACGTTTTCGGTACAGCAGAATTTTTTTTCACAAAACAAAACATATATATATATTTATATTTATATATTTATTATTATTATTAAACTGTGAATAATGTATTCACTCAAATAAATACAAAATATAATAAAATAAACATTAAGGTGCAGCATTTCGATGAACTGAAATAATCTGTATTTGAACTTTACTGTACTAGCACCTAAGCAGCCAGTTTGACATTAGGACTTGCTTGTCATTGTATTTTCATGTTT